AGGTGAAAGGTTGGCCGTGGGGTGAGGGGGTAGCCCGCTCCGGCTGAGGCGCGGCGGGTCGCTGAGGCGGGAAGCGCGGCGGCGGGGCCCGGCTGAGCTCTCTTCGCTCCTTCTTTCAGGAGGAAGAATCGTGAGTTCTCGCTACCTGCAGCACGATAACAAAGATGCCAAGAAGGTACTTGGACGCCTCGCTTCTGGGCTCAGGGGTCGCTCAGCAAGGGGTAAAAATGGTCTGAGGGGCGGCTCGGACGTGTGACAGCGAGACCTACGCAAAAAATTACTTTGCAGGGGTTATGAGGGAGTCGTGGTGTATTGCTAGATGCGGATTGGGATAGGACCTTGGGACTGTGCTCAGGTGACTTGCAAAGCACCAAGCCGCCCTGGGATTGTAGTAGTTCGTTGTCAGCATTCAGGTCAGAGGTAAAACATATTGCTGATTGCCAATGACTGCTTATGTCCAGTTTTATCTGTTTCTTGATTGTCAGGTTATTTCATCAAATTCCTTTTCAACGTCTACTGCTATACCATCTTCTGCAAGTAAACCAAGATCAGTTGTTCCTCAGAAAAGCAGAACTTCTGCTGGTAGGTTTTACCAGAATTTAAAAGCTATTCTTCTGCAAAGTTGTATTTCCAACCTTTGGAACTCTTAACAACTCTGAAATGTTGTTAAGAGATGATATTTTGTATTACTTTGTATCACTGCCAGTTATTACCTGTATACAAAGGGAATTAAGAAACCTGATGTGTGATTAAGAGGTGTAAACTGAAGTGCATTAATCTCTTGTCTGGACATTCTGATAGAGAACTAATCTGGAATGCAGTAATTGGGTTGTCTAAAATAAGCATATGTTTTACCTTCTGCACAACTATTCTCTTACTATGCTGTCACCATTGCCCTGCTTTTTTTATTTAATATTTTTTATAAACCAAATGACTGAAAATCCCTATCTGCAAGACAGTTCATTTTTATTTCTTCTGCAAGAATTGCGAAAGAATTTTCTGGTAAAACCTTAACTTGTCTTGAAAATCCTGAGGAAATAATTTTATTCCCTTTTTACGTCTGAGTGTTGTTGAACTGTGAAACGTTTAAGAGGATCACATTCTAAACTACCTTATCTCTAGGGTGAATTAGAGTGTATATATAAGGTGTGTATAAAATGTGTAAAAGTTTGCATAAGATTGCCACGTATTAGTGAAAGCATATATAACTGTGAACTTGTGCAGAATCTGCTCAAATTCTTTTAGTTTGATAACAGCTTCTTTCTACAGGTGTTGTCTCCAGCTCATTAAATCAGAGTGGTTTTGAGAAAGATAACTTGCAGTCCACTTTGTTAGATGGAGATAAAGTTAGTCGACCAGATCTTGATCTTTCAGCTATTAATGGTAAGCTTCCACTCATACTCAATTTCTTGTTTTACGATTTTTACTGTATGGACTGTAACTTGATTATAAGTAACCTTGTATTCTTCTGTATTCACAAAAGAATTTTGTTAAATAAGGTGAAGGTTATTTCAGGTGTCTTTAAGCAGAGGTATTAAGACCTTCGGGGTTTAAATTAACCTCTCAGTTTTTAGCATCTTTTGGGTGCTCTATTCTTTTTGTTTAAGATCAAATATTAAAGAACAAAGTACTCTCAAGTCTTTGTTCCTGTAACAGATGGGTGTTAGATTATCAGCCCTTCTGAAAGTTGTATCACATCTATCTGTAACTGTAGCTTAAAGCTCATGTGATACAACATCTTTTCATGAGTGTCATCAGAGCCAGAAACAGAGCACAAGTCTTCTTTACTGGTACACAGAATAATTTTGAAATTATCTTTGCCTTTTGAAGAACCTGGTGGTATGTTGACCTATCCTATATACTTTGGTTGGTAGAAGACAGCAATAACTTCTCTGTTGTGATACAGGTAAAACTGTCTGCAAAAAGACTCCTGGTTCAAACTTTGCTTGCAAAGGAGATGAAGAGACAGAACAAGAAACCAAAGAAGGGGTGAGTCCACTGCTTTCATTTGTTAAGCATATTTATTCTGAAATGTGTGAAATTAAGATTTTCAGTTTATCTTTAATCTTGATAACAACTTTGACGTCCTGAGATGATCTAAAGCCTTCAGGCTGAAGTCAGAGAAGTGTGTTCTACTGCTAGTGATGTTTGTTTTGTTTACCATATGTCTCAACACTGACCGAAATTTTGCTTCTGTTTCTTGTGGTGAAGAATCTGCTCCAAGTGTAGCATCTCCTCAAGTTGATTCTTTTTGTATTCCTGTCCATACTTTTTAATTATATCATGTTATCTTTAAAGATTTTCTGACATTTTTTGCTCGGAAAACTAACAAGGATTCAACTTAATTTGAAGTGCCTTATTTAGGAATCTCATTCAATGTAGCACCGAAGCTTCAAGTTTTCTACTTCTATTATGAAAATCTGCTGAAAACGTTATAAAAAGTGGCAGAACAAAGAACAAAGGGGTATATTTAACATGCATTGTTTAAAAATCCAAGCTTTTTTCATCAATCTGACTGTTGTTGATTGTGGGCACAAACTAGACTTTCAGTAACTTGTTTGAACAGTGAAAATATAATTATTTAAATACCAAAATTGATCTAGTATAGTCTTGTCTTTTCTGAAGGAAGAGGATTCTGATGCTGAGATGGAAGAGCTGGAATCTCAGACGCTGCTTTTAACTTACCTAAGAGTAAAGGTGAGAGTCAGTCAAGTATTTGACATTTCGGATAGAAGAGCTTGGTATTGAGGAATTGCTTAATTTCTTGTCTATGCTTTCTGATCTGTATAAGTTAGATTTTTGTAACTTTATTTGTTTATGGTTGCAAAACTGTATGACTTGCTTTGAAAACTCTCTTAGAGTGAATTCAGGGCCAGTTTATTAAGCTGGTGCTGGTTCCTTATGAAGTGGGGGTATGCAGAAGTTTTGGGAAAACCATGAATGAGAGTGTTTGAAGTTCAAGGCTGTAGCAGTGGCTTTGTGCTTTGTTCACTCAGTATGCTGTATGTGTATATTTTTCCTTACAAAAAATACTAACGGGGGTAGGAAAAGAAGATGGAGGGGGGCTTTAACTATAACGTACTATGCTTATTGCGTGAGGTCTCTGATTCATGAATTGAAGCTCTTTGACTTGGTCTGAGGCTTACATTTGTTTATTCTGAATATGTTAATTACTTAGGTATAGCATTACTTCAGTTGTGAATATTTTTTGGATGTAATAGGCTGGAAAAAATCTCGCCAAGCTGGAGGAGAAAGCAGAAAAAAACTTGTTAATGTTGTGTGAAGAAAAGGAGAGACAACAGGAGAAACTCTGTCAGTTGAAGCGTGAAATTCTGCTCAAAGAGAAAGAACAGAAACTTGATGATGCATTAGACAAACAGGTAGGCTTTATTACAATTTATGCTTTTCCTATACTTAAACAAGCTCACTTACGAAGTAGTCCTTTATCCAGAGAAGATTTCTCTGCTTCTGTAGCCGGCTAGGGTACAATTTTATGCATCTTAAACAAAATAAATATCTTCTTCCTGTTGCAGCACATAATGCTCTCTAGTAACCTAAGCAAATGCCTTTGTCACTCTTTTGTTGTCCCTTGTGGGTAGGCAGGAAGGAGAAGTTAGAGCTGTTAGGCAAGGGGCAGCAATAGCACACCGATTGCTGGAGCAGGTTACAGTTGATGCACAGGAGATGCAAGTAGCTTAAAACATGTGAACGTCCTGCAGTTAAGCAATTAGTTATAGCTAGAGCTGAGACGCAAACCCTTGGATGAGAAGTGAACGTCTGCTGTTCTTTGTCTTATGTGTATGTGTTAGCAGTAGTTCTGGCCTGGTTGTAAGAAGACAAGTTTTTAGGGAATAATTGATTTTTGAATAAGTAATTTTCAAAACAGAACCTGTGTTTGCTTTTAACAAACATACATTGCGAAAAATAAGGCTTTTGTCTTTTGGAGAATACACTGTTAACTACAGTCAAATTATCAAATGTAAAACGCTTTGCCTGCTGTGTTGCTAGTACCTCTGAGCTACAGTAACAAGGAAACTGGTATTGACCTAGGAATTTTGGGGTGGTAGAGGAATACCTATGAAACAGCACGATAGGAGTATCATACCACACACTTCTTGAATTCCTCTGTCGATGAGCATTTCGGAGTGGTACTTGGGGTTTTTTATAAATTACTTTTCTGTATTGAGCCAGGTCTGTACTAACAAAATGGCTGCTTCTGAAGAAGTGTTGGTTCGTCGTGTCTTTTTCAGATGGAAGTACTTCCTCCCCTTGTTGCTGTTTGTGAACAGTTTAAAGAGCAATATAAAAGCTTCGCAGTTTCCCTGGATGCCACTAGGCATGAATTACCCATCAAGAATATTCACATAGAAGGAGATACGCTAACATACCTTGGTATGAAAATGATTCGTTAAATTTACTTTCAGAAATAGTAGGGTTTTTTAGTATGCTAAAATTCTTGCTTTGTTATTGCTAGATCTATCTGGCCTCTGGAGGAATTTTGTGTGCTCTTAGAGCTTGTATGGACACTGGGCTGCAGCATTAGTACGTGGTTTGCTGTGAATAGTTCTTGTCTCTAAACACTAAACTGCACTTCAACAAGTTTTTTTTCTTGCAGCAGGAAAAAAAATTTACTTTCTAAGCTAGGGCAGTCTTCACATACAACTTCTTTAGCAAGTTTCTGTGTTTTTTAACTGTATTCATGACATACCTCCTCCTTTCTTGTTTCTAAAGGGTAAGCAAGTTGTAGAAATACTGCTATCTCTGCTTGTTTCTGTGTTTGAGGGATAAAGTCATGTGGGTAGACTTGCTCACATTTTCTGTAGAACTAGAGCTGAAATATATTGTGTGACATCTTGAATCAGAGAATGTTTGTTTAGTAAATTAGTACTTGTGTTTTATATTGACACCTGGTCAAAAAGTTACATTTTTAAACTACTGATCTGCAAGAAACAAGATTCTTAAACCTTTTATAATAATCTTGCTTACACTTTAAAAGAAATGCAAAAGATCTATTGAAGAACTTAAAATTCTTGTGAGAAGTCTTCAAAGGAATAGATACGTATTTTGGGTTTGCGAATGGTAAGGGAGAGGACTGGGTGAATTTTGTGTTGGGGATACATGCCAATAGCAGTATACATAACTGGCTGAGGGGTTTTGGATGTTTAAAACGTTTATTTTTTTCTTGCATTTCTGTCTTGTAAAAATCTTTGACACAGTCTAAATGAGAGATTAATTAGCAATTTTAATGGCGTGTTGCTGGTGTTAATCACAATAGCTAAACATAATTTGACTTTCACAGTTTTCTCATAGTGTGTTTGTGAAAGCTGAATGAACAGTAGTTTCCATCATCTAGCTCACCTGTCTCTGTGGTTACTCCAGTTCTTAAGTAACTTTGTGTTAACTGATGCCAATGCATACAATTTTGAATAATATTTTTAACATCTCAAATTGTAGATGAACTTCAAAAGCAGTTAACTATCACACAGGAACTTTTGACAGAAGTTACACCAAGCTACTCAGAAGAAGGTGCAAAAGCATTCAGAGTACTGAAAGAGCTTAAAGAAGTGTCTCACAAACTGGATGAAGAGCTTCAAAGGTATTTACAACAATTGGGTGAGAAAACTTGTTGGCTAAATATTCAGAGGAAAATCTACAGATCTTGCCAGAATATGTCCAGAATGTATTGGGGGAGGATTATTTGAGGGGAGAGTAGCACCAAGTTTAATTCTGTTTGTAGCAGACATCTGTATTTCTGTCCCTGCCCTAACGACAGTCAGAGTAAATATGTTTTGGGTTTTTTGTTTGTGTATTCTAAGTGAACTACTTTAGTGTGCCATTTGCTGGTGCTTCAGCTTAGAATTTCAGTGAGCAAGAATAGCACTGGTAAAGTGCAAATGTGCATGAGAGTGGAGAACTCCAGGAGTCAGAAAAGTGAACTGGAAACACTATGTCTTAAATAAAAACCATACAAATATGTCATCCTTTAGGAGGTACAAGGAGCATAGAAAAGGTTTTTTCGTTGAGTATTATCTCAACAAAGTATCATGGAGAGCATGGGGAAGAGATAAACCATGATAAATTTCCTTTCTTTCCTCCATTTCCCCAGAGGAGGTTGCAGCTGAAATCTTTGAAGATTGATAGACCATAAAGCCATACATCTCCCCCGCCTGCAAACTGCCCCTCCTTTCCTCCAGTTTCTAGCCTTTGGGAAGAAAATTCATGTTCTACTTTTTGTTATTTCCTTCTGGTGGCTGCATGGTAGGAGACTGATGTGAATGTCCAGGCACATAACCTTGAGGGTTGAGCAGAAGTTGTTATCCTCCAGAGAAACTGATTGAGCTTGCTTAATTTGTTCCAGGAGCTTCACACAAGTCCAGAACCTGTCGTTTGAAGTCAGTAAAGAAGTTTCTCTGCATAACCAAAGAATATGTGAAGAGAATCATGGACTAGATGTTGTGAAACACTGGTACTTCAACTAAGTTTGTGTATTGTTTTACTGACAAGGGGTGGATACTAAACCAACGCCAGCAGACTTGTTAGCTTTTTACTTGTTGTATGAACATAGAACTCGTCCAAATTTTCAGTTATACCAGAATATGAAACCAGCAGCATGTATGATTACTAATACAAGAAATGGAGTTTTCTTCTGCGTGCTGTCCTGTAAGGAGACACTTTTTAAACATTAATTTCTGTGACACCTTTCTCATCACTTTCTGCCTTGACAGTACTGAAAGGTAAATAATAAGAAATGTTATTCTTAGCAAATATGACCTATGCGTTCTTAAACTTCTTCTTTTGCACTTTTGGAACTGGCTTCAAGTGCACTGATCTGCATCCCTTTCCAAAGTAGAGTTTCTTAGAGGGCAGCATATCAGGATGTAGATGTGGAATTGTGTATGTGGTATGGTGCATTTGCTGATCTCATCAGGAGGATCTGTAGCAATGTACAGCATGATCATTGGTCACTCAGCGAACAACTTCTGGAGGAGCTCTTAATTGTCCCTTATTTCTGGATTTGCTGAGGGGGAAGGCTACATGGGTAGCAAATAATGAGGCTGATGCTTGAAGGAGCCTGGTCACTTGTAACAAGTGAAAAGTTTTGTTAACTTGTTGCCTAATTGTCTTGGAAACAAATTATTAAAATCATAAATGCTTTTGTACTAACCTGACACCTTCATTTTAAGGACTTTATTTTTTTTAATAATGAAGACTATTTTCCACTGCAATATCAATAGCTTTCGTGTTTGAATATCTTCACTGATCTCTTACAGAAGCTTTTGTTTCCGTCTGGGCTTACATAGGGCTAATACACAATATATGCAGTGGTGGACTTATAGGCACTAACCAGTCCCAATGGCAAGCCATGACCTACTGGCACACGAAGTGCTGAGGGCAGAAGAGTGTGAATGTGGAGAGAAACCGCAAACCTAACTACTGAGTAAGTGCCTGAGAGTGTGGACTTGTTATAAACATACTGCCAGGTGTGGCAGGTTTTTTCAACGTACTTTCCATTTTTATACGTGGAATGCATTTCACTCTGAAACACGTGCTGTATTCTGTTGCGGCGGGATCTAGGACTCGGCCAATATGATCCATAACAGTCAACTTTATTAGTAAAGAATCTAGATTACATAGACAGAACTTAATTGTGATTAGTCACTATACATAAACACTCGGTGCAACACTCAGCTATGATTGGTTACTATACATAAAAACATCTATCAACAAAACACCCCGGTTACATAATCAATACTCAAACTATGATTGGTCAGTATTCATAGAACGACTGTTTACCTGCAGCTGGCCTGAGAACGATTGTCTTTCCCACAGCCAGCCTGAGAAAGGTCTGTTTTCCCGCACCCGGCCTGAGAAAGGCCTTGAGGCCTGTGCTGCTTGAAGCCTGTACTACTACAAACCAATTAAGTCCATATTCAGAGTGTCTGGGTTGCTCACAATATGTCCCTGTTTCTCCAGAAACCCTACAGTATTCTGTATTTTTTTTTACCTGTGGAACCTCCTTCTGTGATGTTTTTTCAAAACCTTTGCGTTGTATTGTCTGCATAGCGGTACATTTCTGGCTTAAGCTGTGTCCATGAAGCTTTTTGGCTTGCTCAAAAAATACTTGGAGCGTTCTCCTTGCATTCTTTGAAGTGCTATTCAGGCTTTCCTCCTGGTATTAGTAAGGGTCTAACTAGATTCTTGTCTCCTCTTACTTAAGAATTATAGGTAAATCAAGCTGTGGAAGCTATATCGGTAAGAAGTTCAGTGCACTGGATGAGAAGTCAATATGTAATGAGCTGTTAAGACCCTCCTTGTATACAATATCAGTGTCACTTTTTTCACAGCAACTTATCCATGAGCCAGTGGCAGGGCAGTGAGTTATTTTAAGATACTCATCTGTATTTCTTCTTCCTCAAACATGTTAGATGGTCTGCACCTAATAGTTCCCCTGTGCGTGCTGCCGTTCGGTCCGTGAGTGGGTGCTGCACACAGCAGGATCGTGCTCTGGGCAGGAACGTGAGCTGCACCTACGAGGTTTGGCCACTGGATGGGGAACTTTGCTAAGCAGTCAAGTCATAGGTTAGCTGCAAATTAGCAGTGTATTTCTTTTTGGTGGATGGAGATCTTGGTAGAAAGGCTCCTATATGATGAAACTGCTGGTCAAACGACTGTTTTTCCTAGGTTTGGATAATTGCTACGGTGTGTGTCCTCATGCCTTTAACCTGCTTATCGTAAGTGTGTCGTTCTGAGACTCAGAAGCTAAGTCTTAAATATGAAGGGGGAGGGATGAAATGAAAATCAAGTTTATAGTGTCTTGGTGATTCTGTCTCTGCACAGACACGAGTCAGAATGTCTTTCCTAGGATTTCATGATGGTAGACCTCATTGCTGATAAACCCATCCTCTTCAGTCAAGTGATTTTTTACCACTGAGATACTATTGCGTGTGTATATATGTATTCCCAAATGGTACTTAAGCAGCAGACATCTATCCAAATTTTCACCATAAAGTGAGGTGGAATGCTGCTAGTTCTCTTCCCTGAAGAAGGGTGGCTGGAAAGGTTCTGTTTGCTGTGATCCCAGTTAAAGGCTGGAAATCTTTTGGGGATGCAGTTCATCCCTGTTGGCTGCAGATGGCAGTCACTGGCTGTACAGCAAGCCTAGGGCAAAGTGGGAGTCCTGGAGCTAAAGGCCAACTGCGTGTAAATAAAGTGCTTGGGGATGTGCACTCATTGTTTCAGAACAATCGCAGATATTGATTTGAGCATTCTGGACATTCTTTGCGTTAAGTTGAACACTTATGTAATTCTTTTTACAAATGGTAGAACAAGTGTTAGATAAAGCAGCTCAGCCTCTCAAGGAAAGGGTTTTAAACTACTTTGTACTGAGACTTTTCCATCCTGGTTTTGCTGAATGTTCTTTCTAAGTGGTTCTGTTTTGGCTCTTGGCAGAAGTGTTTTGGGCTCCTCCACCTTGAAACGGCCACAGACATTAGATGCTGCCATACTGAACACTGTAAACAACAACAACAAAGAACTGCAAAATCATTGGAGCAGGAGCTAAACAGATGTGACACCACTTATTTAGTGTTTTCCACTGATTTTCTGACAACATCACATGCTCTGAATCTGATTGGAGTCCTAAACAACTTAAAGGCTCTTTTTATTCAGGTTGTCAATCTCTTCTGTGTTGTTTTTTATTTTACTTGGTTTTAAGCTAGAACTAATAGTGTTCTCTCTTCTGTGACTTGTATCAATGTAGATTTATGTTCTATCTGAACTTGTGCAGTACTTACAATCTATGCATTCATCTTTTTAGGACAGAAGTGCTTATTAACCAAGTGTTAACATTCATGTGTCCTAGGGTGCTTTTTTGGGGGGAGGGAGGGTTTTTTCCTCTTCCAAAAACTGAAAGCAATTGTGAAATGAGCTAGCTAGGTCTGAGAGCCTGGGTGGGAAGGGGGAAGCACAGAAATGTAAGTACTCATCACCTGCAAAATTATCTTAATGGTCTAAAAAGCAATTGTCAAAGATCATTTTAAGCTAGGTTTACACTGCACAGATTGCCCTGTCTGGATTCTGGTGTTTCTTGGGGAGCTCTGACCACATTCTCTTCAGTTACACTGGCGTTGCCTGACTGTTTTGACCACCGGCTCAGGAGGGCTGAGTCAAAGCATTTTTTGCTGCAATTCCTGTGCTCGCTGCGATAGGGTCACCAGGGGTCAACATGAGGGAGCATCCCTCTTGCCCGTGGTGCACTATAGTAGAGCTGCAGCTCAGGAGATAATCGAGGCCCGTTTGTCTTTTCACCACCACCCCCCAACCCTACAGTTCTTTGCTCACACTAGCTTCAAATGGAGCTGATTCTTTGCTCATCAACAGCAAGTAAGCAGCTCATGACCCCAGCAGATGTTTCTGCAGTTTGGGCTAATGAGAACTTACTGGATTACTGCAGTCTTCCCTGCCTTGGAGTACATACCACTTTGTTGGAGATCCGGAAACTCATACTGAATATGATAAACAAACTGCTGGCTGGACTGTGATTGCCAGGACATGAAAAGAGTTCCACAGCAGCAGAGGATCTAACAGCTCTGAAATGCACCACTGAACCACACCAATTAAGAGCATTTCCAGTGATTATGTGAGCATTCCTGTTCAACTCGCAGAAATGATTTTAGGTTGTTTCTTCCGCTGCATTTGTGTGTGGTCTCTAAAGCAAGCACAAGGATGGAGGACAAAGTTTGCAGAGTAGTCTTAAAGGCCTCTGAGCAGTTTCTTTTAAAGTATTTCTGTGATAATGTATATGCAAGACCTATCAGGTTTCCTGCTGTTTCAAGATCTTTAAAGTTAGTGAAGCAAACACAATTTGCCTCTTAAGACATAACTATGTTTTTGGTTATATAGATAAAGTGTGTTTGGAGATGACCTGTAGGATATCGAAACTTAAGTCCATGTTTTAATATCTACCGCATGTGGGGATGGGAAGTTAAACAGCTGATTGAACCGTGGAGTTTTCAGGACTGCTACCCAAAAAGATATGCTGTCTGTGGCAGCACTCAGCACTTTTATTCAGGTCAAACTCAGCATCCTTTCAGCACTCAGGCTTTGTTGTGTATTTATTCAGAACTTTTTAGACAGTATTTCAGTAAGTGAAATGGTAAACAAGTAACTAAACCAGGATGAAAGTTTAGCTTGACTGTAGAGCAATGTTAGTACGCTTATACAACTTCAGGGTGTTATGGAGAGGGTAAGTGTAGTACCTGTATAGGCAGTACCCAAAGATATTGAGAGCCCTTAACCCTTTCTTGCTACCTTTTTTGTCTGGAGAAATTTGTCTTCACCTAACCCAGCAAAATCAAATTTCTGAAGTTAATGTGATTTGTATGATAAAAGGACACCTCTACCCGTTCCTAGTTATAAAGATGTCGAGCTGAATTTTAATAACTCTTAAGCATTGAGACTTCACAACTTCTTCAGATCC